GAAGCTTCTCGGCTTTCTTGATTGGGTCCACACGATTCCCAGCCCAGAAACCTTACTCGCCCAAAAAGGGCCACTTGTTCCATCACAAAGCGAGCCAATTCAAAACGCTGCCTCCCCACAGTTTCCTGGCACGTCAGTGCCAAACTTACCCCAGCCGCAGATCGATGACAGTTCACAGCACGTACCCGTCATCGCCTCGACTCCGATAAGAGACGTTACCGGAAGTCAATTAATTGAGACTCTAACGTCAGTAAATCAACAAATAGTCGCCGGTTTAGCTAGACAAAACTTTCCCAAATGTCAACCAGACATTTTCAACGGAGATGCCACGCTTTTCCATCCATGGAAGGCCGCATTTAAAACCATGATCAAAGACGCCGACGTTTCTCCCGTGCAGGAAATAAATTATTTGCGAAGCTTCACTAGCGGGGAACCGCAGCGGTTGGTCGATAATTTTAGAAGACGACAAACCGATCCAGTCACGCTACTCCAGAGTTTGTGGAAGGAGTTAGAAATTCGCTTCGGTAGCGCGGCGATAATCACTAACGCCTTACTAGAGCGCATGCAAAAGAGGGCTATGTTTAACGAAAATGACAACGCAAGATTGCAGCATTTCGCGGACCTTTGCACTGACGTGGAAAGTCAAATGTTGTGTCTTCCCGGCCTCGCGTGCCTCAATTACCCAAACGCGATACAACCGATAGCAGAGAAACTCCCGCCCTCACTCCGCAGAAAGTGGGAAAAGGAGATTGCGAAGCACGCGGACAATAATGCAGGCGCCTACCCCAGCTTTAAGAGATTCGCAAAGGTCGTCCAAATGCAAGCCAGATTGAAGAACAACCCCAACATTTTGGCAAGAAACAAGCCTACCAACCCCCCTCCCAGTCGCCTTGCACCCAATACACGTGGAGTGAGCCGGAAAGCGCTTAAGACGAACGCACACCCGGCACTAAAGAAACCAGAAACACGATCCAGAGAGAGCACGAGGAGAAAGCGGTGCCCATTCCACGACCGCGAGGGCCACGACTTAACCGAATGCAAGGCCTTTGCTGAGAAAACCTTAGATGAAAAGGTAGAGTGGATAAAGGGAGCTAAGCTATGCTTTCACTGCCTATCTGAGGGTCACCAGGCCAGCAGGTGCAAGGCAAATGTTAGCTGCGGCGTATGTGGAGACGAAAGGCACATCGCGGTTTCACAGAGTAAAAGAGACTCAGGCGAGGACCCATAGTGATAAAGAAAGAGAGGACACTAACGAGGGGAACGTGAAAAATAGAAGCACACCGATTTGCGACTCGAGTGGAGGCCGATCCTGCAACAAAATCCTATTGGTCAATGTCTACGACAGAGAATAGCCGGACCGCACTCGGTGCGTGTACACTATCGTTGATGAGCAAAGCAACAGTTCTCTCATTAGCAGCGAACTTGCAGACGAGCTGGGAGCGGTCGGACCTCCGGAGAAGTACTATCTGTCCACTTGCAGTACAGAAAGGGAACAGAAATATGGCCGTCGGATAACTGGGGTGGCAGCGCGATCAATGAACGGAGTCGAGTCGATGCTACCAATGTTAATCGAGTGTGATAGCATCCCACAAGACAAGCGCAAAATCCTTACACGAGAGATGGCGAGGAGATTTCCCCACCTACAAGAAATCGCCGACGAGATTCCACCATTTGATAGTACAGCCGGCATTCATCTCCTTATTGGAAGAGACTCGCCCGAGCTTCTCAAGGTCAGAGAGTTTAGAAATGGACCCAAAGGTGCTCCCTGGGCTCAACGACTTACTCTTGGCTGGACGATAACAGGCCAGATGTGCTTCAACTTCATAGACGGCCCGGCCCACGTGCTCGTAAATCGCACCAGTCTCCACATAACCAACGCAGATGAAGTAGAGTTAACAAAGATAGGTGGTTACGAGCTGGTACCCTGCCCTAACAGGTTTTCAGTGAAAGGGAGCCTAACACAGATGAGTGTAGAAGACAACGTCTTTACTGCCACTAGGTACGACAATCAAGTCGCCCCGTCTCGGGAAGACCGAAAGTTCCTAGAAATCATGGAAAGAGAAGTCTGCAAAAATAGCAAGGGAAATTTGGAGATGCCACTCCCCTTTCGTCAAGAGGAAGTACAAATGCCGAACAATCGAATTCAAGCAGTCAATCGTTTAAACGGCCTATTGCGCACCCTTAAAAGAAAACCGCAGATGCAGTCCGACTACTTCAACTTCCTGGAGAAAGTTATCGAGAAAGGCCATGCGTCAGTGATACCAGAGGAAGAGTTGAAATCTGAACCTACGCCCGGTAAAGTTTGGTACCTACCCCACTTTGGCGTCTACCATCCAAAAAAGCCAACACAGATCAGAGTTGTGTTCGACTCGTCTGCGGAGTATAAAGGAGTTTCGCTGAACAAGACCCTACTACCCGGCCCCGACCTAATGAATAGTCTTGTCGGCGTCTTAATGCGCTTCAGGAAAGAGAATACAGCCATTATGTGTGATATNCACAGGCCATGCTAGCAAAGTCTAACCTACGACTTCACAAGGTCGTCTCTAATTCCGTAGAGGTCATGGAAGCCTTCCCACTAGAAGATAGGGGAAAAGACATCCGCGACCTTGATTTGCGTCAAGATTGTCTCCCCACGCAGCGTTCGCTCGGAGTTTACTGGGACCTAACAAAAGATGCCTTCACCTTCAAAGTATGCTTACCCAGAAAGCCCTTCACCCGCAGAGGGGTCCTCTCAGTCGTGAAAGCAGTATACGATCCACTTGGCTTGGCCGTCCCGGTACTCCTGGAAGGTAAACTCCTACTCCAACAACTAGTCAGCATGGGGAGAGGGAAAAATAACAATGCTACCCTAGGATGGGACGACCCACTCCCACAGTCTCCTACAAAAGTGGCAACGATGGTGAGACTCCCTTGCCGAATTAGAAAGGGTCACAGTGCCCCGATGCTACCACCCAGCAGATTTTGGTAGAGTCGCTCAGGCAGAACTACACGCATTCTCCGACGCTAGTAAAGACGCCCCAGGAGCCTGCGTTTACTTACGCTTAGTCAACGATAGCGGAGAGGTAGCCACGTCCCTTGTGTTTGGCCAATCAAAGGTTGCTCCCCTACAGACTACAAGCATCCCACGTCTGGAGCTCTGTGGAGCCATGCTAGCCACACAAGCCGTCGCTAGAATATTGAAAGAAATAGACATCCAACTAGATGACATTAAGTTCTACACCGACTCGAAGGCAGCTCTTGGCTACATCCAAAACGAGAGCCGAAGGTTCTATGTCTACGTCGCCAACCGAGTAGAAATTATCCGTAGGGTCTCCTCACCCGATCAGTGGAGTTACATTGAGACAAGTGACAATCCCGCAGACCTAGCCACACGTTGCCTCAATGCAAGTAGTCTGGCCAACTCAGCCTGGCTGAAGGGGCAGAGATTTCTCAGAAACCCAGACACGGTACAGCCTCAACGAGAGGATATTCAACTAGCCGAAGACGATCCCGAGGTTCAAAGAGAAGTGGTAGCCCACGCATCATGCATATATAAATGCAGAGGCCTCGGAGCGGAGAGATTTTCACGTTTCTCCAACCTCCACTCCTTAAAACGCGCGATTGCACGCCTCATTGTCAAGGTTAAAGAGTTCAGGCGTCAAAAGAATGAACAAAGGCAACCAAAAGCCAGACAAACCTTCAGGAGTCCTACAGCAAACCAGCTAAATCAGGCAATGGACGCGATAATGGGGGCAGCGCAGAAGGAAGCCTTTGGCGCAGAGTTAACAAACAAAGATCTCACGGAACAGAAAGAAGGGGAAAGATATCAAAACACGGTAAGGAAGAGAGCCCTGAAGGGCTCCCAGTTTTACGCGCTTGACCCGTTTATCGACGCCAATGGAATTGTTCGGGTGGGAGGACGACTTAGGAGAGCAGAAATGGAGTATGGAGAGAAGCACCCTGCAATCTTACCAAAAGACCACCACGTGTCCGTCCTGGTAATTCGACATTACCATAAAGAGGTCCATCACCAGGGTCGACAGATTACGAGTGGCAAAATTCGCCAAGCCGGCTATTGGCTGATTGGAGGTCATCGCATGGTAGCGAAGGAGTTAGCTTCTTGTGTGCCCTGCAAGAAGCTGAGAGGCCCCCACGTAATCCAGAAAATGGCTGACCTGCCCCAAGATAGAACCGAGGTAGGCCCACCATTCACAAACGTCGGCTTCGACGTCTTTGGTCCCTGGACCATATCCACAAGGAAGACGAGAGGTGGCGCTGCACACTCAAAGCGTTGGGGTCTTGTCTTCACGTGCTTGAATAGCAGAGCCATTCATATAGAAGTACTAGAGTCAATGGACGCCAGTTCGTTCATTTGTGCACTGAGGCGCTTCTTCGCCATACGCGGCCCAACAGCCGTATTGAGGTGCGACAGAGGGACAAACTTCGTTGGGGGACACACCGAGTTAGCCGAAGCCCTTAAAGAAATGGACGAAACAAAGATCGAGAGATTCGTGACACAACACGGTTGTGAGTGGAAGTTTAACCCACCACACGCATCCCACTTTGGAGGCGTATGGGAAAGACAGATCGGGACCATCCGCCGTGTTCTGGATGCCATGCTAGCCGACCTCGGACCAAGACAGCTGACGCACGAAATCTTGAGCACTTTCATGGCGGAAGTCACCGCTATCGTAAATGCACGACCCATTGCAGCTTTGCCTTCAGACATCAACGACCCGCAGCCCCTGTCACCAGCCATGCTGCTTACAATGAAAACGCGACCACCAGGACCACCACCGGGCAACTTCCTGCCCCCAGACCTGTACGCGAACCGGCGTTGGAGGAGGGTCCAGTACCTAGCAGATCAGTTCTGGTTACGGTGGCGCCGAGAGTACCTCCAGAACCTCCAGCCAAGAAGAAAGTGGTACGACGCCCGCAGAGACCTGGCCCCAGGTGACGTCGTCCTTATGAAGGAAGACAGCCAGAATCGCAGTGACTGGCCTATGGGTCGAGTTACGGAGGCCATCAGGAGCGCAGATGGCAAAGTAAGAAAAGTGTCACTTAGGATTGTGAGAGAGGGTAGAGGAAAAGTGTTCCTACGCCCCATCAAAGAGCTCATCCTGCTGGTTCCAGTAGAGGCCCAGTGACAGACCCTTCGACCACGGCAGAGAATTAAAGGACAAACAATTAGTAGAGCAAGGATCATAGACGATCCTTGGGCGAGGAGTGTCACGTTTACGGATACGAACTCTAATCTTTTTTACTTATGTAACTCTTCCGTTTTTAGCACAAAGACACTAAGAAACTTTCAATGACTTTCTATTTAATTTGTTAGCGCGCTTTGTTTGATTTCTGTTCCGTGACTAGCGAATATCCGCTCAAAGCTAGCTACATAAAGCACTGTTCATTTCTATTTCCTGTACGTCAAAGTGTAAGAACTAAATTCGCCTTCTATTAGCAAGGAGTTCTCTAGCCCGGAGTCAAGATCCGATGTAAGTTACGCTTGTAATATTCCTCATTTTTATCATTTCTAGTTTCGTAGTCATTCGGTTTTCCTTATATCGAACCTTCGTGTATCCGTTCTATAGTTTTTACCGCCTTTGCTGTACAAAGACTGCCAGCTTAAGTGAATAAAGAGAGTTTGATGCTGCTGCTTGTCTAAGTTCAACACTGTGGTTATACTGGCGAACTCCGGTGCACAACACCACGTGTCTGCGGTATCGGGAACGCGACACTTTTATTCATAGAGAAAAAGACAACTTTAACAAAATCATGTTTTTGACTCGCCTTATTCACCTTACGCTCTTCTGTAAGTTTTCAATTCCATCCCCACTCGCCTCGTTTTCATGTTCTTGTACCAAGGCTTACCCGAGCAGTCCGCCATTAGGAATTCCGTCTATTTCATTCAGCTTTTTGAAGAAGAGTGGGAAGACTCAGAATAGCCCAACAGCCATACCATGTGCCTTTGCAAATGACAGAATATATCTAAAACATGCCTTAGAAGTTGATATGTGCTTCAAAGAAAATGTTAAACCTAATTATAAAGTTGAACCTGCACAAGTCAGAGAGCATTCCTGAGCCTTCCAGAGATGACCTGTGTAAAAAACATTTTCTCCTTCACTCCTCTCCAACTGATAATTATAAAACTGGTGCATATGTTGCATGGTGCAAAACTCGAGTACCACATCAAAAAAATAGGAGTACATGCACTCTCTCTACGTGGAGTAATTTAACCGTTTTTCCTCTTGTGAGTTTGTTATTTGAATTCTTAGTATTGCAGGATATATTCAGAATTGAAGGTACAAGTCATTGACCGCATTCTGTTGTCTTAAGGCTGACAACTCACCGTCTCACTGGATCCATTTGATCCGCACTGAGCGTTCTTTTAGAGGTCGCAAAGGTTTCATTGTGAAAGAACAGTTTACTGACTCTTGTTGAAAGGAGTTAGCTATTCACCTTCATGAAAGAACCCTGGAAACGCTTGTTCAAATAGCAAATATTGCCGATCAGTGCTTAAAAGCACGTGGAAAACAATTGTTTGGTCCTGCTGGTTAGAAGCCTCTGGTACTATCTCAGAAGAATGAAACAAAGACAGTAGTGTGTTTCAAGCATATAGCTTGTGGCCACAAGGCTGTTAACTGCCCATCTCAGGTTAAGAAATGTTTCATGTGTGGAAGGCAAGGGCATGAAGCTAGAAACTGCTGCTCAGGTAAAGAGAAGTCAGGAGGAGAAAATAGAGATGGTCTCCCTGTGCAGTGTGGGCAAGTCAGTGCTGGTTGTCTAGTTCAGCCACTCAAGGTTAAACCTCTATTTATTATTTAAAAATATTTAAAGAGGGAGCCCAGCTCTCCATAGCAGTTTTCAGTGAGGCCCTCAAAATTAATGTATAAAATAAGTAATCATGTCATTAATAACTGAAAACTCACGGTGGAAATATGAACAGAAAATAATAAAATCTATGTGCAAGAGATGACAAACCAATGAAACCTATCAAGATTTAAAATATTTAAGCAATTAAATGTTAAAAAGCATCATGGGATAGACATCTCATGTCTTCTGGGAGGGAATTACAGTCTGTCAATGCACCATTAAAGGATATGTACACCCCAATTTGTGTTTGATCTAAAAGATCGAATAATTTCCTTGAAGCGAGTGTTATGCCTATGTTATGTTTAAAAAGGCACCATTGCATTGATCTTCTGCAAGATAGATTGATCAACTTCCTATCTAGAAGTCCTTGAGTTGAAGAGGAAAATGTCGCTCGACCCAATAGTAGCTTAGCTGGTTTATTCTGAAGAACTTGAATAGAAGAAGTTAGAGCCTGTACTATGGATGATAAAGTGTGGTAAGAAGATCCCTATTGTTAGTTGCCTACCCCGGATAGAGCGCTGGACTGTTGTGCGGGAGGTCAAAGAGGATTTAAGCCCTGGCCGGACCAACACTCAGGGTCTTAAATTAATTGAGAAGAATTTCCTCCCTTTCTATAACATCAAGAAATGGGTAGATATTCTAGTCTTCTCAGATAGGGACGAATAAATGGAGGTTCCCTCTCCTGCAGGGTTGGTGTAGGAGATGTTAATTTCCCACACAGTGTGTGATGGATGTCCTCATAGAGGGCCACAGGATTATCAGTTTAACTCTGTCACGTGCCACCCTCTCTCTCCCTTGAACCTTTGTCTTGTCATCAGTTGAAAATGCCTGTGGTAAAAGGATGAGTGGCAGGGAACACTGTGGATGTCTTCAGGGACACTTGTTGTAGTGGTATAGTCGTTAAGAAGAATCATGTGTCCAACGACCAGTTTAATGGTGATTTTAATGTTATGCTGCTCATTGACAACACAGCGAGGAAGGTTCCCATTGCAAGAACTACTGTTGATAACCCTATCTCAAGGGGGAAGTGGAAGCGCAGTGCCTCCCAGATGCCATTTACGACCTGATAATAGGTAATGTTCCTGAAGCTAGACCTAAAGATGAACCAGACCTGACTTAGTAAAAAGTACCAAGTTAGCAAGAGAGGCCCATTGTAGATAAACAAACTTAAACAGATGCAGAGTGAAGATGAAAGTTTGCGCAAGTACTGGGATCAAGGTGATGTACTAGTAAAGGGTCAAGCTGAGATCTCTTTTGAATCAGAGAGTGGGATATTGTACAGCATCTACAAACACCCTTTTGTGAATGGTGGTAAGCCTGTGAAGCAAGTGATCATTCCTGTGCAGTTAAAACCTTGAATAACGGAGGTGGCTCCTGGATCTATAATGGGAGGTCACTTAGGTATTAAGAAAATGACTGACAAGATCAAGAGTGCATTTTATTGGCCAGGTATTCAAGGTGATGTGATCCATTTCTGCAAATCATGTGATGTCTGTCAGAAGACCATAAACAAGGGATTGGTTCCAAAAGTGCCACTAGAGAAGATGCCTTTCATGTATAAACCATTCAAGGGTGTCTATTGAACTTGTTTGACCTATCAGTCCATCAAGTGAAGAGGGCATAGGTACATCCTGACACTTTTGATTTTGCAACTGGCTATCCTGAAGCCGTTCCTTTGAAGACTATCCACACTGATACCATTGCAGAGGCATTAGTAGATATCTTCAGTTGATTGGAAGTTCCTGAAAATATTTTAAGTGAGTTTGGCACACAGTTCATCTCTGATTGCATGAAGGAAGTAACAGTTGCTGAGTATCAAGCAGATCACAACCACGTCCTGCAACCCTATGTGTAATGGCTTAATTGAGAAGTTCACCAGAACAATTAAACTTATGTTAAAAGGATTGTGTAGTGAATAACTGAGACAGTGGCATCGTTTTATCAATACCTTGTTGTTCGCTTATCGTGAGGTTCCACAAGAGCCTACTGGTTTTTCTCCATTTGAACTGTTGTAGGCAAGAGCTGTTAGAGGTCCAATGACCATTTTTAAGGAGTGTTGCGTTACCCTCAACCACATGGTCTAGACTCAAAACTAATCTCAGGGCCTCAGGGCTGCAGGGCCGCAAGGCCCCATGGACTGTCTTGTTGTTATGTAATAGCAGTTTTTGCCTTGTGTCGCACCAAGCGAAAGTAAAAAACGTTTAATGTTTTCACAAAGGATTTGTCTAAGGATTGAAGGCCGCAAGTTAGATAACTCATCGGGTTAATTACATACCTTTAATAAATAAAGAATATTGTTTTGTATTGGATCAAGGATTTGCCTAAGGATATTTTAATGTTGGCAAGTTTATAACTATGTTCTCACAAGGCTGGACAAATGTAAGTTTTAATGCCAGATATGTCATTTGCACGGAAAGATCTCTAGGTTATGTTTGCGATTTTGCAATTTTCACAGCTTCAGATTACATTCGCTGAGTAAATACAGTAATAGCCCACGTATAAGAACCTGGGTTTTAGGAACCTGTTAGGCTAAAATTTTCATCATAAGTCCCCTCCACATAACAACCTATTTAGGCTAAAATTTTAAGTTAGGTTCTTATCAGTGGGTTTGCTGTAAAAGTGTACAGGTAGAAACTGCTGAACTAAGATCATCATCTATTTAAAAGTAACTTGACACAACTTTTTTTTCTTTCAAGCTGAAGTACCATGTTGCATGTCTATTGCGTTTGCCATTCAAATAATTCCTCAAGCACTTACAAGTACTGTACTCTACTACAGTATCAAAGAAAGCTTTCTGACCATCTCCAACTCTGTGACAATCACAAAATATTAAATGTAAAATATCAAAATATATCCCAATGAAATAAATAATTGCAAAATAGCAAAACAACGTAAGCTCCCAATAGGCAATGCCTCAGCTTCTTGAGTCAATGTGAAGTCATTTAAAGTGATAGATCCTTTAGATACAGCATATCAATATTTGTTTTTGCTTGTGGCTGACAGATAGATATATAACAATAAGCATTATTGTATCTTATTGAGTTTTCTGTGATTCACTGAATTTCTCCTTGTTGCTCAAACTTGCTATGAATTTGGTACTAACAAGAGTTTCTTTGTTATGTTTTGTTAAGGACATACAGTATGCTGTACCTGCACTGAACCGCCACTGCTCTATAGTACAAATAAATGATTTATACCGTATTATGAGATGATATTTATAATATATGTAGTATATTCCAATGAAATTCATATGAAAATACAAGAACCTATTTTAAGA